CTTGATTGTGAAAATAGAAACTCATAAATTAATGAATACATTTTAGATGAGGTTATAAAAGGTTACCTGCCCTTTGGCCAACGACAACAGACCTCTTGACGGGTTCCTAGATTCACCTCGTCTCACCTACTGTTGTTCACACTCAAAGTGCTCTCGCGCTTCCTGGGATCCACCCATTTAGACACTGATGGCAGGGCTGCCGTGCAAGAGGCCACCTGCACATCAGGACTTCTTTCACATGCAATTTGGGAGTCACATGCACTAAAAACCATGATCAGACACAGACAGAGACGCACATACACATCTTGGAGGTCTTGAAAGAGGTCATCAACGTACTGTGCAAAGACGTGTTGTGTGGTTTGACACAGACAGCAAAAGCACGCCTTCAAGATACAGGCTGTGAAACGATGTGCACTTCTCTTTCCTGATTAGGGCCACACATCGCTTCATGTATTCTTTGTCTAAAGAAGCTCAGTATGTTGTGTTGTTGTAAATGGGTGGACACCTTTTTCTACTGTGATATTGGCCTCTAATGCTTGTGTACTGTAACAATTTAATTTTCTTATTGTTTCTTTGTGGTCCGTCTTTCTGTGTAAATAGAGCGTTTATTTTACCACCTAAACGGACATCTTCAGTTAGTCGCTTTCAGTGTGTGTGTGTGTGTGTGTGAGTGTGAGTGTGTGTGTGTTTGTGTAAACTGGGCTGGAGAGGGGAGAGAATATGAACGCCCCCCCGCTGGCCCCACCACCCCCAATTTCCATGAACAGACCAAAACCCCACGCGCACACAGTAAGGCCCACTTATCGCACTGCTTTGCGGCCTCTGAGCGAGCTCAGATAAGCAGTGTGACGATCAAAGGCCTCTGATAGCGTTTAGGTGGAGGGCTGGGGGGGGGGGGGGGCAAGGACTGATCTGTCTCTGGGAAAGGAGGAAATCATATCCAAACAAAGGCTATTCTATCCAAGTTTCCATGTGGAATATGGGTCGAGGGACTATATTCAGCCATCTCTGAGCTTGTTTGATAAGTCATAATCCTCAAATCGGCTACAGGATGAGGTCTCGCAGCCTCGACAGACACAGCAGCGAGCCACACCTCTACCTCTCTGCCAACACGTCGATGCACGCGCGGTAACACTAAAGACCCAAAACGATCCACGTAGACAAAAGGTCCTCTGGAAATGATTCCATACTAACACACATAATAACACGACTATCGAAGAACACTGGGCATGTGGGTGCCGGTGTAAACAGGAAGTAGATTGGTAGCTTGGTCACAGAGCTTTGTAATCTTTAATAATAAAAGGTCGTACTTGAAACTTAAGATCTTCGGCTACAATTGTATTATCAGATTTTTTTTTTATTAGTGAAAACATTACTTGCTGGTTGGATTACAGTTTTTGGGAACTTCATAAGAGTTGTGCAGAACACAATGAGAACCGATAGGAACAGGGAAGTGAAGCTTGTTCAAACGGTCGATAAAACCCCTGCGGGGGCATTCACTCCAATAATAGCTTGTATGTCGCCCAGCATTATAAAATGCTTTTTTTTTTTAAGTGTTAGTATCGGTACAATCCTAATGATACCCCATCCCAAGTGAACGCTAGGCATTTTCTAAACCAGTCACTCACACAAACACGATTTGATCGATCTCCAAGATGCAAGTTGTTCCTCTCACATGACAGTTTATAATTACTTTCATTCTGTGTTTCAGGCCGACGCTCTGCAACAGACAAGAGAATATATGCTCACATTTTGGCTGAGAGGTGGAGCGTCCCACTGTGACATCTATTCTTCCGACATTTGGAAACCAAGTTGGCTCTCTGACAGCAGCATCGGGTTGATGCCTGTTGCCATACCAACGATTATCTCAGCAGTAGCAACAAGTGCTCCTGTAGGGAATTGTGGAGTCCCTTGTGAACAGATCAGAGAAGAGCAATGGTGCACTTTGAAAACATTTGCAGAGTGAAGCTGAAAACGCTGTATGCTAAATTGGAGGGTGAGGGTTACGGCTGATGAACAGAAAATACAACTTCTGTACCAACGACATCCAATAAAAGGCCCGCCGTGTGATCTTGAATCAGCACAAAAGGGTAGATAATCCATCTTTTTCAGATTATGGCCTCAATGAAACACATGGGTATTGTGTGAAAACAGTTTGTTCACATGCAATAACAGCAGTTTCTAGACTTACAGCTGCTTCAAAACTAGAACATATCTTGGATGTGTAAAGGTGAGCAAGTGCATAGATCAGCTATAATAATAACAACACACTACTACAGCATGTTTTGGCAAAGGACAGTGTTATGACCTGGTAACTGAAGCCCACCGCAGCAAGACAAGATAACCAAACGCCAAATGCAGGAGCCTATTCCCACCTGTTGCTATAGTTTCAGAAGGCAGCAGCATGTAGTAGAGTTGTCGATCTCTCAGATGCTGCCAGTGACACGGAGCCGGTCTTTGCTTTGTGCCGGCGCCGTGGCAACAACGGTCAACGAACGCTGTGCCGACGAGGGCCCGATTCGTTAATCACCGCACAAGAAACACACACGGTGCCGACAGCTACCGGGGCACACCTGACAAAAGTGATAAAACCGGTGTGTGTATTTACTCCTCGTGTTCCACTTTCACCCAATTGCAACACAAAGGCGCTCTGGGGCCGAGCCAACGCGTAGTAAAACCAAAGCTTGTGTCCTACTCTGAAAAACACCCCGGGGGGCATAACTAGATTTGAAATTGGCCAGATCTGTTCAACCAGGCCACTGCGGAACAGAACGCTTCAACCGTTACCCTTCAGCACCCGCAGCCTCCCTGCGGATATACGGGCTGAAGGCCAGCAGGCTACAGCATAGGTGTTAATCTCCCCCAGCAACCTTCGTGGTGAGTTGGTGTCATGTTACTGTACACTGGGTTCGTCTTTCTCAGTTCCGGTAACCACGGCAGAGAACTGACCCGCTAGTCACATTGCCTTTTTTGTTTTAATGCCACGCATAGAGAGGAACCACCCATCTGTTGGTGTAAGATTGTGTCGTGCGGCTAGATTTAGGCCCACTGTGATGTGACACTTTAATCTCAGCGTAGAACAAATGATTTGCACGGTACCGATGCAATGCAAAATGAGTTTTATCCAACGACGATGCAGCACAATGAAGGATTAACCTCAAAGCTCATAATTCACAAACGCTCCACTAGAATAAGTGCGGCGTCTCGGAGGCGAAGGCTTCCTACCGTATACAGCCTGCTTTTAGCGACGGCCCGTGCCCCGAGTGGACTGAGAGGTGCGATGCTATTTATTAACTGTAAGCGGGTCACCAGTGCGAGTGTCCCACAATAAATAAGTAAAAGTGAACAGTACATAAAGACTCTGCAGTTGGTCGGATGTGTGAAATCCGCGCTGCACGTCTTTGTTTTTATGACCTACTGTGGTACAGTGTAATAACAGGAATACTTTGTTGATTCTACTGCGCAATGCCAAGTCCGGTTTTTGCCAGCCGATCGCATTAAACAAAGCGCATCTTCTTGACTCGCTGTAGGCCAATCGGGTCACCTTGCTCTGAGTCATGAGCAGGAATGTAATTAGCTTACCTGTTACACCAGTTATTCATTGACTCATCAACCCACGTTGGTGGGAGTGTTTAAAGCGTTTCATTTGTACCAGCGAGCCACTGGCCTTCATTACAGAGGAGAGAGGGAGACCATTGGAAGGTCATAAATTGAAAACTGAGAGGCATGGGAATGTGCTGCGGCCTTTAGGTTCACAGCTGCTCGAGTCAACTTCCTCCCCAAGTGCATTTTCTCGTTTCCCTCCTACCAACATGGCTTGCGTTAAATGGTTGGGTGGTTTTCGTTTTGTTTTCTTTTAATTTTTAACAAAACCAGTTATGGCTAAATCATAGACCCTATACAACGCGGGGCTAGCTTACATTTTCTACACGAAAGGCAGACACATTTCCGGAGAACAAACCGGCCAGCTAAAAAAAAGAACACACACGGTCACGGAAGATCCCATAACAACGCAGAGGAAATGTCGGGTTTGTCCACCCAGTCGGCGTGTCGTTGGGGGTGTTAGCTTGTTGGGCGTGCAGGGTCCAAAATAAAGTGGGCAAGCACGCTACGGGTCAAGATCTGCCACAAAGGGCGGAAGGCAGCTAGCTTAGTCGCTATCTCCACCTCGAGCCGACTAACGTCACCGACGTCCGTCGAGTCCACCGACAAACAGCTAGAAGGAGCCGAAAATACCGGTGATCACGGTCGCTGGTTGTTGGTTAAATGTATCAATAGTGTTGCAAACGGCGATACACCACTTCAAACAAGAAAAACAAACGTTATACTAACGTTAGATGTGGCTTCCTCTACCGATACGCCAAGACTTCATTGTATAGCTTGGTGGTTAGCTCTCATTTTATGAAATTGCAGACGACGTCCAGCTTGTGCAATAACATGGCGTCTAACCACAGACGTGGTGATGTATTGGCAAACAGAACCAAATCCCAGCGGCACTTCCGCTGGTACTTGAAGTCGTGACGTTTAGAGACGATTCTCACTATTACTCTCGGCGGTAGCTTTAGCCCTCATAGCGAGCTAACGTGGCTACATTAGCTAGCAGGCTACCCCGGCTACCCGTTTCTTTGCCTTTTCCCAGCAACGTTTGGAAACCAGTTCACAAATATGGCAAGAATCGCGAGTGTACGAACTTCTGAGGGAAGAGAACACCGATTAAAAACAAGGGTTTATGTTTTCATGTGTTAACAACATTTGGAATAGTCTTAACCGTTACGTGACCGGTAATCTCACGTTAGCCGTTTGCTCCGCGAGCTAACACCAACGAGGCAACACACTGGTTGGTCTGCTCAGACAAACTTCCTCGAGCTCCCTTGTGTAGTCATGACCAGTTTACAACGCGTAACCCAACTTTTAATCGCGCTTGTGGGGATCCGCGTTGAAGCGTACGGAGACACACTCTAAATGGGCGGTTATAGTGAGTGAGGTTATCGGGTACTTACAAAGAGCAGGCTGAACATTGAAATCCCGTGACTACCCCGGAGAAAGTGGAGGGAGTGTAGAAATTGCTGCCAGGTTGTCTTTTTGTTCCACTTCAATGTGGCAGCTTGAATGCTCGTCAGAGGTCGGGAACTGTTGTGGGGAGGAGCCTCCTCAGGTCGTATTTGCGTTCAGGGACCATCGGAAATATAATCGCCCAACTAAACACGGCGGGGAAACACCCGGGAATTCTGTCACTTTCTACGGGACATGTGCTTTGTGCTTTATTGCGGGGCGGCAAGTGAGCACAAGATATGGGTTTATAGTATAACAAACTAAGAAATACAACTAATTCACGATAAGTACCTTATATTGGAGAAGCAGAAAAGTACCAACATGAACACTCTTTGGTTCCCCACTCAGTGAAATGTGGCTCAGGGTCAATTCACCCAACCCAATTCACCCAACCCAATCAAACTTAAAGCAAAAAGCGTTTGCGAGTTTATCTCTTCGACAGCAAAGTGGCTGCGGGTCTTGTCGAGTACGGAAAACAAGACGTACGAGTTTACTAATTTCACTCGAATGCAGCATAAAGTTCTGGCGTCAGTGCGACGTAAGAAGAATCCGGTTGCACGATGGGAGCTCAACATAGTGACGACAATTCCAGAAAGTAACCACACGATCATGGCTGTGCTCATAGGTTGTTTTGCAAACTGAATGAGCACAGCCATAGTTGTGTTGTTTTTTAACCTACATTTCATGAATGTGATGTGTGTATGTTTTCATATATATGTATGTATGTATGTATGTATGTATGTATGTATGCATGTATATATATATATATATATATATATATATATATATATATATATATATATATATATATATATATATATATATATATATATATATATATATATATATATATATATATATATGTATGTATGTATGTATGTATGTATGTATGTATGTACATATATATGTATGTACATACTATTACGAATGATTTGCTGCTTTGATCCGTTTCTCTCAGATGACATATTCCCAGTGGGTAAATTGTGATCAAATTGTGATCAAGATTGTCTAATAATCTGAATTGAGCAACAAAACAGTAACAATGCAGCTCGGAGTTCACAAGCAAATCAAGACGATCCATCCAAGCTATTTCCTGGAATGCTGTTTTTACTATATCGTTCATCTCCCTCTGGTGTTCATTCATTTACCTGCAAAAGATTTCTACTCAAGACGTTCCATGCAGATATTTGTACCTAAACGTAAAGAAAATAATGTACTACAATCTCAAGGGTTACTAATATGTTAAAATGCAAATCCAGTAGATAGAAAGTGGGGAACGAACACCAATATACAAGAAGGTTTTTATTGATGTGGTATCAATACAATCAAGTACTGTAGATTTGTATAAGCAAACAAACATTTTGAATCAATAAGAGTGCATTTTATACCCAAATTCTAATCGCATAAAGGGAACGCAATAGCCTTGCATAACAAAAATCCTATAAGTTGATACATTTTACATTACTCAAATAAAAAATAAAAGTCAAAAAATAATCCTTTACAAACAACTCTAAAATGCTAACTACGTGTCGTAAATGCTCTTAACTCATCAATGCTGTTAAATACCATTTATACGTTCTAGGCTTCGGTGGTCGGTTTTGGCATCCCTAAAATTAAATTATCATAAATGTATAATACATCTTCATTAATTTCATGTGCAAATGGGAATGGCCGTTTGTGTTTACAGAAACTAAAACAAACAAGTATCCCTTAAGAACCGAAGCAAGACTCAAAAAAGAAGAAAAAAACACATTTTTTGTTTTTTAAAGATAAAAATAGAAAACACTTCAAAGCAACTTGTGATCGAGACGGTACATGAGTCTTACTGACACTCGCTGACCGTTTTGCGTGCAGGACAATCTTTGCATGCGAGCAAAACACAAAAACAGAGAGTTATGGCCCCATGTAACTCACATCAACATTTCATATGTCCAAAAATGGAAGGCATCGAAAAAAGGGAAGAACATTTAGTACACAACCAGCCTGGGATGGGTTTGTAGACTCACATGACAAGATTAATACATAACAGTTTTTTCATGTTGTGAGAAGAAATGGGCCAGAGCAAGTGCACCGTTTAAATCATATATACTTGAAATACTGATTAGGCCTTTTTCCTGGCGTCGCTTTTCCAGAAGAGTCAATGTGTATGTTTAGAAACTCAGCATGGTAGTAGATTTATACAGGATATTGTAAATTCGTATTGTAAAAATGTTTGGTGTCAGCCAGGAATCTGTTTAGTAAATAAGACTTTGTTAACTTATGTTGATGTCATCTCCCACAATCTTCTCATCGTCCAGATTTATGTCATAACGTCTTACCTTACTTTGCAAAGATTGTGTGTGTGGGAAATCAGGCTAAAAGTTTTTGGAGTGAAAAATGCACGTGGAACATTAACAGGACTGTAAACTCTTGCAAAGGTTTCGTAACTTCATTCAAGTTTGTGATTATTCTTGCTGAAGTGTTCATGACTTGAATGCCAGGGGGACAATGTGAACCCCCCCCCCACACACACACACACACACATATATATTGACATAATGAGAGACAGAAGGATACACCTACCAGAACATACAAGCACACGCATGCAAACACAGCATGTACCCTTAATGCCTCATCCAACAGAAATGAGTAAATACACCACTCTCACCTCTGCCCCACCACCTCTCAGAGAAATCTGGCAGGGGGTTGTTAAATGTTACGCAACCTGTATTTCACAACCTGTGGGCCTCAGTCGGTCCCTTTACTTATTCACGGAGCGAACGCAGATTGATTCTCATTTCCGGCTGTTTATTTTTTGTCATAATTTCGCTTCTAAGAGACATCTCGTCCTTGTAGCCACAGATGTTCCACAAAGTGAAACAATTATTCTGCGATGTTAAACCCGGCGGTTTGAAAATTGATGGAAACAATTTCATTCACGAATTATCTAATTTGCCTGGCAACAGAGAGTTGCATAGAAACTGCCATTGAAGGAAGGAGTGGATGTGCATTATTTGGTTTTTCCAGCCATTTGCATCCTTATTTTGTATTAAATAGTCAGCGTCTTTATCAGATTTGGTTAAATGTGGTCAGAAATGTTGCTTTCGTATTATGGCGGCAAAGATTGCTCACTCGCAATGTTTACGTAGTACTAAACTTAATGAAACGTTGTTCTAACATTAGAAGGCATTGCTGTCACGATGGGAGCGTCTGAAGAGGATGCCTGCGTCCCTGTGATGTGATTTAAATATGAAAAATGGGATTGATTGAAAGATACAGGCTAATCTAGTTTGAGTTGTGTCCTTAACGTCCATTTAGCAGATGCTCTCAGTATCTTTTCTACCGCATGTAAACATTGACTGTATGCATAGATATCTTATTTAATTAATTGTGTCTGATAAGTCAAAGAAAATACATATTTCTTGTATCATCATTTGAACAGGGTAGTTTGAATTTAAATGTCTAATACTGTGAGGTCATATTTACCTGTGGGTTTTATTTCTTGGATTGCGTTTCTGGACAGTTCAATAAATAAAAACAATGATAACGGTCATTTTAAATGGTGGCCATCTGAATTCAGAAAGAAGCAAAGAAATAAGCACCCTACAGATGCAAACTAATTGTCAAAATATATATCTCACTCTTAAAACAACGATTGAATCCCATTAAAAATTTTAACATAGCAAGTACTATAGAGGCCAAACAAAGGAGACGTGAAAGGTAATAGTATTCAGCACAGAATGCCTTGTTTTGCTATATTCTGTCTATGTTTTCGCTGTTGTATCACTGCTCTTTATGTCAGCATTGCCAGTATCACGTCTTAAATAGGAACAGAGGGTGGACGTGACTGCAGCCAAAAGGAACCAATCAGCCCCCAGGGTCGGGTGATGTCAGAGCTTGTGGGCAGGATGTGCAGTCACATGGGAAGGTCTGTTACTAGCACATTACAAAGTAAGGCACTTAATAGTCTGAAACTGATGAACAACAACAAGGACCAAATAATAATAAAATAATAACAATATAATAATTAATATAATATAAACTAAAAAAAAACACCATCATGAAAACAACCCAAAACACACATTTGAAGGGCAATGAAACAAAGAACACAGTATGAAAGTCCTTCCCCTACTTTTGAAAACAAAGTTTTTTCTTTTGCGGATATTGCTGAAGGTGAGACGGATACAGATGATGCCGATAATATCGAGAGTCCCATTGGTTTTGTGTTTCTGTGATGGCTGTAGGTATTTCAGGTTTAGGGCTGCTCTGAGGTGCCAATACAGGACAATGAAGGAAAGGGAAGGGTTATGTGGGACAGAGCAGAAATCCTGAGAAGGAGGAGTGAATGTATTCGGTAGAGTAGAGGCCATTTGCCTGATCCGACGGCATTTGGACCCACACTTGGTCACCCTCCTTCAGCTCTAGGACAGCGCTACCGGACGCCTGGTCCATGTAGCCTTTCTTGTATTCATCATAGGTGTAAGTAGCAGGCACATTGTTCTTGTACAGTGCCACCCACAGGCTTGTTCCCTTTACATGCATGTGGTATGCAAAGTAGTAGACACCAGATAAAGGAGCAGTGAACATGCCTGTAGCAGTGCTGTAGGCATTTTGCCCATTGTACAGGGTCCTGTCAAATTTTATTGGCATTGCAGAGGGAGGGAAAGGTGTGCTGAGGATCGCTGTGAAGGCTGGTGCCACAGAGGCAGAGAGTGGGACTTGACTGTATGCGGGACCTTTCCTGTCCCCTGGTACTTCATCCCCTTCCAACTGTGAATCGGTTGGCCCTGCAACTGCTTGGCCATTTCCAGGAGGACCGGGGGGCCCGGGAGGACCAGGAGGGCCATGGTTACCATTGAGTCCAGAGGGACCTGGTTTCCCAGGAGGACCCTGGGGACCTATAGCTCCTTTATCTCCCAACAGTCCAAGTCCTGGAGACCCTGGAAGTCCAGATTCACCCTTTACGCCAGGGGCACCCTGTGGCCCCATGGGACCCATGGGCCCCTGTAGCCCAGGAATTCCTGACTGCCCCCTGGGTCCTGGGGTTCCTATAAACCCTGACTCTCCTTTAGGTCCTGGAACACCCGTCAACCCTGGATTACCAGGCAGGCCAATATGCCCTGCATCACCTTTGGGGCCAGGTTTTCCAGTAGCTCCGTTAGGCCCAGGGATGCCTTTTTCCCCTGGGATGCCAGGTTTTCCAAAGGACCCAGTGGGGCCTTGGTCACCTCTGAGACCAGGAAGTCCTGGAGGGCCCTGGGGCCCAAAATCTCCCTTCTGTCCCGGCATTCCATGTTTTCCAGGGAGTCCCATTGGGCCTTGAAGTCCTGGTGGTCCTGTTTGCCCATCTAGGCCTTGTCCCCCAATTGGGCCCAGCATTCCTGGCTCTCCTTTCTCCCCTGGGAGACCAGGTAACCCACCATAGCCCTTTTCTCCTTTAGGCCCAGTCGGACCAGGTTTTCCATAACCAGCACTGCCAGGGAATCCAGGAGGACCCCTGAGCCCTGACTCACCTTTGGGACCTTGTGGACCTGGTCCACCAGGCAATCCGTCTTGCCCAGGCTTCCCCAACCCAACTGGTCCTGGCAGACCTTGTAGACCTGGAGACCCAGCCTCTCCTGGTTCTCCTTGTCCCCCTGGGAATCCTTGATCACCTTTAGGACCAGGCAATCCAGACAACCCTTTAAGACCTGGTTTGCCTATACCTGGAAGACCAGGTGGTCCTGCACTACCTTTCAACCCAGGAGGACCCCTTATGCCTGTAGGCCCTGGCTTTCCATTTCCATTCTCACCCTTTAACCCAGGTTCACCTGGTGGCCCAGAAAGTCCTTTATGTCCCGGTTCACCCCGAATCCCAGAGGGCCCTCTCATGCCTGGAAGTCCAGGCTTCCCATTTAGAGAAAGACCAGCTGGGCCAGGAAGGCCAGGCTGCCCTGGAGAACCTCTGAGACCTGGTTCACCACGAAGGCCAACCTCGCCATTAAGCCCCGGCATCCCCTTTGGTCCAATCTTTCCCGGAAGACCTGGAAGTCCAGGCTTACCAATTCCTGGATAGCCAGGAGGCCCCTGAGAGCCTGGCTGGCCATTGAGACCCGGCTTGCCCAGTCCCGGTTTGCCTGGCATTCCTTCTGGCCCAGCAGGGCCTCTTGGTCCAGGTTTACCCTGGGGGCCTGGTTCCCCCTTGACCTCCATCATGGGTGGCATATCTGGAAAAAAATAGAGGATTATATTATTGTCATGATAATATACCTCCACATTTAACCCATCTTCAACTTGAGAAACTTGAGGTTTATATGTCACTTAAAGACATTGTTTTAAAGGACCACCAGCCTCACCATTGGGGCGACAGTTGTCTATTGTACTGAATGGACTTAACATAACAGAACTCTCAAGTTACTGTGGGTCAAAGCAATACACAAACAAACAAAGAATGAAATATCTGCTTAATGTTAATATGACTAGTTTTTGATAAGCCAGTTCACTTTTGAAATCCCATTGTCCATGTCAAGACAGTAAAATGCAGCCAGAAAGGCATTAAAGACAGAATATATTTAGTAAACTTATTACCCTTTCCACCGCATGGTAAGGTGTCTGACTAGTCAAGTCATTGATTAGGTATTTTTCACAGGTTGGATAGCGCAGAAAACCTGTTATATTCTGGACAGGCCTCCAGTCCATATATCTATCCATGTAATCATACAACCAATTTTTTATTTTTAAACCGCAGTCACTCTGGTTTAAGAGTATGTGCAAAATGCTAATTGTTTTATTGTGAAACAAAGTATGAACGAGACTAAAGAAGTGTGCCACACGTCAGAAAAGTGTCTTCTGTATTCTGTCCTGGCAGTGAGTCAAGCAGAACACAGTCCGGCCACAGGGGGCAGAAGCCCAGACCGGGTCTGCAGAACACTCCAATCACAAAGTCTCAGTAGGTTTGTTATCTCAGCAACACCTCACCTGTATGTCCGATGGCAAAAGGGAACCTCAACTTGTTTTCTATTCGAAAGAATGAAATGACATGCATGCATATTTTAAAATTCAACATGTCTGTTTGTAAATCTATCAGATAAACTTGAAGTATTTTATCCATATTCTCTAACCATACCCCAAAAACAGTAAGACATGACCTCCCAATGTCAATACAGTGACACCTGTAGAAGAGATGAAAACATAATCTTTTCTCCGCTCATTAAGGTGGAGATCCCTTATTTCCCCATCATGTAACCACAGTTGACTACATCCCCCTGCTGGCACTCAATGAGAATACATCCTTGAAATCTGACACAGTGATGAGAAAAAGAGTATGAGTCTCGTTTGAGTTTTGGTAAGACTTGGTACTGGTAAGACTTCTGGTAAGACAGGTGTAATCACTTTTGTATCATCCTCCAAAATGATGGTTCCTTTTCTACATTCAGACAACAAGTTGTTTTTTATCAGCGCATAAAACACTCAAAACATTGTGCTGAGCTTTGTAATGATCAGTCTGGCCTGAGCTTAGTTTTTTAGCTTCTGTAGTGCCTTCATATATCACCCGGAGAGAGGAAATAAGATGCTTCACACTTGAGAGAATATAATTGCCCCTTCATTACTACATGCGGTTCTCTCCAGATGACAAAGTCTTAAGCTTTTTCAAATACACTTAAACTAGGAGTCACTGAATTGATTGAAGTCTGCTCTTGTAAGAGCAAAATTAGATAAGTACCCAAGCAAGCCTGAGGACAGTACTGACCCGTGAGATTGATGGCGGACCCACCGCTCATATATGCTTGTCACTGCACAAGAAAACCTATGTTCATAGTTGGTAGCCATCTTCTTACAAGAATGTCTTGCTTTTAGACATTTAGATCATTTTTTTAACCATAGTTTTTAACCGTTCTTTCTACCGGAGCACCTATTAACCACATGAGCCCATTCTCCCAAATGAGATCCTATGTGATCAATGATTGTTTGTATTTTTAATGGACTCTGAGCCTATTGATAAAGATAGACAGAGCATATACTTAATCAATAACTGATTGATTCAGTCCAGTGGTGATGCAATGTGGACACGTGACCACTGGGTGGCAGCAAAGGCATCGTATTCATCTCAGCCACATGGCGCGTTAGTTTCACTTCTCTTTAATTCTTAATCTTGGTTCCACCAAATTTTGCAATCACATTTATAGAAAGCATAACTTCTTTCGGCACATCTCTGATGTTTCTGTGATGGATTTGACTGCAATGCATAAACACTAAAATTGCTCTGAATCCAACTTCTGGAGTCTCTCTTTGTCCAAAATCATATTATGGCACTGAAATGAAAATGTGCCCCTCGTTTGCTTTGAACTTTCCTTTGAAGCAGTGGCCTCTGTTAACACATGGCACGTCTCATCCGATCCATAGCTTGTATTAGTTGTGAGAGTCAAATTTGATGATGATAGCAGTGACAGCATGAACATTTTTTCAGGATGATCACCCCCCCCCCCCGTCCCAGTTTCCCTTACCCGAGCCTTTTATACAATCTATATATACATTCTTCACACTCTCTCCTTCATCAAACAGCCAAAGATTATTTGATAAACATTGGGGTAACAGCATCCAGATGACAGGATGAACAACTGGCCAAGTGGAGCTCAGCAAACGGTGGGCAATCAGGCCTCCATTAGGCCCCAACGGAGAAGCTGCCAAATGCTGCAGGACCCGCAGGGCACCGAGACGCGCATACACACACACACACACACACACACACACACACACACACACACACACACACACACACACACACACACACACACACACACACACACATTCTCACACAGTCCCTTAACTGTCTGAAGAGAGACACTAAACCAGGGGCTTTAGTGCACAAGCCTGACCTGGGGAGATCGCGACATCCGTCACATATTTAACCGCAATGTTGCAGACTTCTTTTGCTCCTTGGAAGACGTCATATTTCTGTTCCCCTTAAGGACTTGCATATGATCCGTGTCAGCGCTGACTCTGGGTCGGATAGTTAACTCATACACTGTTTGCAGAAAATGACTTCATGAGTTGAACACTTGAATTGATACCAGAGACAGAAAGACTTCTCAAAGAGTATTTCAAGGTCATCAATTTGAAGTTTTTCATATTTAAGAAGGCCTTACTGAGCAGTGTACAACATAGAGTTCAATCAAGTATTGAATCAGTTCTAAATGCCCTGATGGACTGTTGCTGAAAGTATTAGCGGCCCCGTCGGGCCGACGGAGTCAACAGCGACCAATTCCGTCAGAGCAGAGTGAGGCATTGAAGTACAAGAGGCACATGTAACCCCGTCGATTACTTACCAACGTAGTGTCCCTTGCCTTCTCTGAACGGGGGTCCAATAGGCCCTTTCATCATGGGCTGCATGTACTTCATGTGGGTAATGGGGGGGTAGCCTCCAGCAAGGGCGCGCGCTCCCAGCATCAGTAGCACACAGGCAGGAGCAAACAGCATGGTCATCAGCATCGCAGGCCTCAGACGTCACACGAAAACAGCTGGAGGGACAAATAGAAGAGAAAAGAAGGCCACGGTCGTTGGTATGGTTCAAATGACTGGGCTTCACCTTGATTTTTCTAAGATTGAAGGAGGAGAAGGGAGGCAAGGGGAGTGTGAGTGGATGAAGCTGAGGTGGAATTCACATGCACAGTAATAACGATCAAAATGTTGTGAGCAAGAAATCTTTCCATCCTGCTTTTAATGCTTCTCCTCAAAACAGTCTTTCTCTCTTTCTTTCTTTCTTTCTTGCTGTGACATAATGCACCTGGCATGTGAACACTACGTTTTGTTGGTTTTTGTGTCTACGAGCATTGCATGTTCCAGCCAACCAGCTGCAGACCTTTGGGAAAGCAAAGAGGGAAAAGGAAACATGTTTCTTGAGTAGAAGTTGGCAAAGTAGCAGACACTGAAGCCCAAATATAAATGGGCTAAATGTTGGCTGAAATCTTTATTTTTAGCTACATATTGAAGACAGGGAGGACCTCCAGTACATGTCCACACACGAGGTTCACACACGTGCAAATGTAACATAACTAGAGTAGAACTCCCGAGTAGATTGGTCGGGTTGATGTTTGGGCTCGGGCGAGTGGACAGCAGATCTGTTGACTTCAATTTGCTTCGGTAAGAAAATAGCTACATCTCCAGCTCCAAAAAGTATTCTCCACAACAGTGGTCAAGTGCCAACAGGAAATCAGAGGATGGTTTGGGTGTTTTTGTGTCATAAGTGAGCACACGTAGGTGTCCTTTAACCGCTGAAACGGATGCGTGAAAATGGCTTAAGTTTTTTTTGCTTTTTTTGATGATGCGGAAGCCAAACGGAATCTCAGGTTCAGTCTGCTCCCGTCTGACTGCCGAAGGCGGCACGGGGATTGTGCGAATATGTGAGAAAACGGTGCGTAGCTATGAAAAGCTCCTCTCTCAAACCTGCTTGGGGTTTTTTCAGACTTGACTGACACACAGTGTCGTGGTGTAACCGGATCATTAATGTAAAGCAGCATTTAGTCTAACATTTTAGCGCCAAAAAGAAAGAGAAAGCTGTTGCAAAGAGAAAGAGAAAGCTGTTGCAGTAGGTCTCGAGCTCATCAGGCCCCATTATTGCCCCTGCTTCAGGTAATACCCATTTCAAACACTGTTTATGTGTTTGTGTGAAAGTTCACTTGTCTCTGCAGATGTGGATTCATTTTGAATGCAACAATGAGAGGAAGGTTCAGCCTGAAAGTGGCAGTTACCCAGTCAAAGTTTTTCCCTCATTTGACAGTTTTCCGACGGACTTCCTCATTTTAAAATGACACCTAATCAGACTGTGCACCTCACTGCACTCAGGCATCATGAGTTCACGGCAGACTTAAACTCACACATGCTTTTTAACCGGTGCGTTCATTGACACCACGTGTGTGCAGAGACCACGTCTGTTTTACAACCTTGCCGTTTTTTCCGATATCCGAGCCATCGGTGGTCAAACTCCGCTTTAACGGCCACTCACAGTGTTTCTCTGGGTTCCTTTTGTTGTCATTAGACAACGAGTGTGCGCGCGTCGAGGGTATTTCTTTATGGCACCGACGGTTTGCTGGAGACTGGGAGGCCGGGGCAGAATCAAAAAGATCACATCTCGAATGTGCACACAAAAGCTTAATCTATGCGAAATGAGGAACGCGAAGACGAGGATGTTAAAAGAAACAAACAGGAGGAGGAGAGAACAGTATTGGTTGGCCGGTTCGTGGTCGCTGGCCGACTCGCCGGCTGGCTGGCAGGGAATCTCGTCTGGTATGGGGATGGGGAGTGTGGGGGTGGGGGGGGGGCTGTGGTTTTGGTTGCACAGGCAGCTCTGGATGCCCACCGTCCACCATCCAGAGCGACAAACACACACACACACACACACCTCCACAATTGGTTTCATCAAAAGTTTTTGTTCAATAAGCTCCACAGACGTTGTTAAAGGATCTCACGCAGCCCCTCTCCGCAGACACCGCACACCCTCGGTATGCATGAGGACACACAACATAGCTCTGGTGAGTGGTTAACGCGGGTGTCTTGAAAAATGCTCAAACTCGTTAACCCTTCCCCCTGTTTTTGCCATGAAAATTCGTCCACCGAAAACCAACCAAGACAGAACCCCGCCCCCCCCCCAGTTTGTGGGGTTAATGGCGAATCGAAGCCTGCCTTGGTCGTTAAAACGCTAGCGGCACTCAAGGTGACGGGGAAAAGGCCTCGCCTGGCAGGGATGGTGAAATTTTATATGAAACAGATTTTAGAAAAGAAAAGAAAAATGAATCACCCAAACACAGAGCACGGCAGCAGATCCAAAAATACACACATAGAGGAAGATCAGAAGAGGAAAGAAGCATTAAGGAGAAAGTGACTGACCTTCGAGCAGAATAAGGTTCAATCGCTCAATATGTAAAGACTCTGCTAAAGATCAGGGGCGCAAAGGCCTTACGGGTCGGAACAGAAAAACATCAATGCCCACATCCAGTACAAGGACGCATGTGTGCATAGCGAACACTGACGGACAGGCAGCCGACCCACTTTCCTGAATCCAATACACCTCACAGATCTGTCTTCAATCCACCAGGTGATCTAAGCGACGGACATAAACCAGGCACCTCAAAGTGCTGCATGCCATCCCAACAGATGTAGGAAGGCCTTGAAGCCTGCAGAGGAGCCTCTAAAGCCTCCCCCGAAACCCAAACTCAGCAGCATCTCAAGTGGCCCGTTCAGACAGGCAGTCGGACTGCAAGCGAAGCAACGCGTTCCTCCAAACTGCTCGGCTGCCCACTAATAGAAATAAACAGCGCTGGGGAGGTGAGGTGGGGAGGTGTTCTGCCACCACTTCCATTAAGTGGTGCCTGTGTGGATCCAGACTGCCAGGCATTTCCTGAACCGCGTGCCACAGAGAGATTATAGGTACACACGAGAGTTCGGGGGTTCCGTGTCGTTTTCCTGGCGGAGGTTTCAGCTGCTCGGCGAGTGGCGGAATGATCACCTGAACGTCCTCAAACAGCTTTCACGAAAAACTCCCCGATGGCTGAACAACAACCGAGGTCCATGATTGTTAGTTAGTTTGGTTACGACCACAGGTTTCGCAGAGGAGTGCACTTAAAACCTGACCGCATATTTTAGCTGATTCATCAGATCCTGGCAGAGCTGAGCCACAACCGTGACCATAACAACTCCTGAATGTTAACCATAAACCCACACGGGTGGTCATCATCCTTTAACGAACCCTCTTTTTGTGAATTCAGCAAAGCAATTGCTGGGGACTTTTAAAGCAAGAGCGAATTTGCAGCAGCAGAGAGGATGAAGCGCGGTCAAAGTAAATAGAAAAAGACATCGATGGTTTATTTTTCAAACTGCAGTCTAGACGCTTGAGTAATAATGGATTTTACAGATTAAGTGAAAAAGGTTTGCACCTGCAAACATTAAGCAAGCTTTTAAAAAACATACACCAGCGGGCCACAGCGTTGCTACGGTATCACTTCCAGACGACACAGGGCTCCATTGACCTGCGGCCCCAACACGCTGACGGCCGGAGACATGCCGCTCTTACTGAGTTAGAGTGTGTGTGTGTGTGTGTGTGTGTGTGTGTGTGTGTGTGTGTGACTGGGGAGAGGAAATCGAGCGTGTGGGTTTATATTTAGAGAATCACCTGCTTTCCAATGAGGTAATCCATCCTCGAGCCTGAGTGGCACGTGGACCATTACACCCTTCCGGATTCAGTTCACTGCGACATATTTGAGTAGTGGTCACGGATTTTCGTGGCTTTGATGCCTCTATTTCTCAAACGTGTGCAAATAAGCAGCGGTGGAACAGCACATCTCTTCAAATGACTCGTCCATGTAGTACAAGTAGTAAATGCAAATCTTAACATGTTAAACAATTATGTATGGGTGCCATGTATCCAAATACCTTTTTGTGAAAATGTATAAAACAGAAGATGATGAGGGCCAAAGCGTTTTCATCCAGCAAAACACACAGTCCTCAGCTATCTTTCTCTCTATGTGTAGTGTTAATGATAGTGCAGGTGGATGCACATCCAATCACAAGCTTGTATTTCGTGTGCCCGTCACCTGTCTTGCTTGTTGTCTTCTGTTGACACCTGACAGAATGTGCGCGCTTTTATAAATCTGTCCGTCATAATGTGAGCGGGGAGGATGCAAACAAGGAGAAGACGGTCCAAATCGTACCGACGGTGGATTTGCTACAGGGGGGGGGGTGAAAAAAAACGAACTGGTACACGTGGAGCAGGGCTGTGTTTTCATAACATCCCTGAAGGTTAAAGCGGTTGCGAGGAGGGCAGAAAGATGGTCAGAGAGAGGGGTGAGTTTATGCTGATGGGGGGGGTGTTTAAGAGGGAACGAGTGAGACTAATGAGGAAATGGGTTGACGGGTGTCAGACAGGTTTTCGAAGAAAACATGACGAGGGGAAATGAGTGAAGAGGTCAGACGGAGGGTTGTTTCCATTCCTTGATGACTTCATTCAGAAGAACACGTTGAACACCCCCGTGGCACTCGTCTAAGTGCAGAAGCAGACGCGCTAATCATAAGATGGGGCTGATGTATTGTGCATGTGATGCGTGTGTGTGTTAATTACTCACAGAATGATTCACCCAGAGAGCCTCACACATTTACAGTTGCATGCCAGTTTTACAAAGGGACCCTTACTCGCTCTCGAGCCCCAACCAGGAATAATTCCAGGCCAGTTGAGCGTGCATTAATTACAACGAATCAGCCAGTCTGGCTCACCTGCTCTTTGACCTCGTCTTTCAGTCAAGCGCTACAGATATACATACGATATAGCCTAAAGAGAGATGGACTGAAAGTCTGCGGGGAGCTGCAGAATGGTGTCTGTCGGGAAGACGCATCTCTCAGGCGTACTTAAACTCGATACGAGCGGCTGATTATCGAAAATGAGAGAGTTTAAAGAATAATCTCCTAAAAGCCGATATGCTTCCACCTTTCCAGAGCAATAAAAGCTCAGCAAGAAAGTTCATTGAAAGAG